CAAATATGAGTTTTTTCAAGCATGATAATCAAGTTACAAAACCACTTGTCCTAACCTTTCAGTCAAGGGTCATTAACGAGTTCCATCCGTCCTGATCTGGTGAGATCGACCAACGAATCTTTTCTTGATGCACTTTCATTCGAAATGAAGGTCGAAACAAAGTTTCTCTTCGTATCTGTTATGATAGGAATGGCGGCTTCTGATTGGTGCGAAAGCTCAAATCTGATAGGTCCGATGCAAGAGTTGGCATTGTTGGCCTCATTTGATTGGTCGACGTTACAGCTCAATCAGGCTGAGTAGTGAGCATACTTGGCATTTTGCCACTTAATGTCGATTTCTAGGCCATCAGGAATTCGTGAATGAGTCACCCAAGCCCTGGCAGGCTGATTTGAAGAAGAATACCCACACAAAGCCTCAACACCTACTGGCCTCGTAACTAAGGCTTGCCTCCAAGGCAATCCTTCGGCTTCGGACGAGACCAACTTGTGAATTCCTTTAAACGAAATGAAAGATGAATTGACATGAGTCTGTTACGAGACTTTTCTAGAAGCGGCTCGTCCATACATCAACGTTTGTTGAAAGACTTCGCCTGAATCGGTGACGCTGGATGACCTTTGGGTCCTAACTACTCGAAGGTCATGCCGAATACCGTTTGGCCGACGCAGAGGCACATGCGAGAGGAGGTATCACACGCTGGAGACGAGAAGCTGACTCAGTAGACCACACGATGCCATATAGGCCAGATAGGCTTCGGGCAATTGTATAGATGAGTCCACGTGGCAAACGGTTGATGTAGAAAGGAGAATGGCCCAACACAAAGAATCGGTCATCTCAGGGAAGATCGAGTCTCTGAGGGCCCGGGGGAGGTAGGAGGTATGTGTGGTGTGAATGCCGGCGTCTGGCTAGACTTGAAGTGGCCGATCACAGTCCGATATATTGAATGATATGCTCGGCTTGATTGGTCGACAAGATGGATGGGTCAGTAAGAGAGTTATTCACTGTGGTGTGTGGAAAAGCTGGTTAGCGAGGGTTATCTGGATAGATGTGATTTAATTGTGAATTTGCTTAATAGTTCAATGTGAGCCGACTTCTTCGATTGAAGAAGTCTCACCGGAAACTGAAGAAGGCTTGTCTTGCAGTCAACACTGTCGGATTGTGCAGAGAAGTCCTCGGATCGGTGTCCCCCCGAATTGTATGAATCTGCGCTAAACTTTCGTTTGTTGGGCTTATATCCATTTCGAGTAGAAGTGTTGGGTGAAGAGATACGAAGGTCGGTTTCACCAGAAGACGACGGCCAATTCCTCTTGACCAGCTGTCGATTGGCTTTACTGAAAGATTCATGCTGACGCTGTTTCCGAGGCAATCTCCTTCGATTCCGGTAAAAAGGTGCTAAACTTTTGTCCGTCATATGACGAATATCATCAAAGCAAGGTATCATCGTTACAACAAAATTTAAGCAAACAAGTCAAGAAAACTCACCGGCAAATCCTTAAAAAGTGGTATATATACTCTACATCTGGCCTCTTTGATCAAGAATAAAGTGATTCGGTTAGCTAAAGTCATATGTCAACTTCGATGCATGTCAGTGTGTCCGTCTCTTTGTATGTGTATGTGATTGTTTGTGTTCGCTTATGCACATACAAATACAGAGACAGACACATTCACATGCATCGAAGTTGACATATGACCTTAACTAACCAAATCACTTTATACTTGATCAAAGTGGCCAGATGTAGAGTATATATACCACTTTTTAGGGAGCCGGTGAGTTTTCTTGACTCTTTTGCTTAAATTTTGTTGTGACGATGTTACCTCGCTCCGATGATGTCCGTCATATGACGGACGAAAGCTCAACACGTGTTCACCGGAATCGAAGGAGATTGCCTTGGAAACAGCGTCAGCATGAATCTTCCAGTAAAGCCAA